GTGTCCAAGCGCAAGAGCTTGATCCAGGAGCAGAAGGCCACCATCGTGAGCTTCGTGTTCGACAGCGTCGACCAGGACAGGTGCGACGCCTGCGCTCCGGGAGGGATCCCACGCCCGCGCTGTCTGTCCGCCGTGCTCAGGACAGGCGCGCGAGTTCGAGAAGCGCGGCCCGGACGTGGTGGGGGCCCTCGTCAGCTCCTTCGGAATCCAGAAAGAGATGGCGAACGGCACGTTCGGTGTCCCGCTTATGGAGGCGCATTTCAAATGGCAAAGCGCCAGCGTAGTGCACCGGGTGAAAAGGTTTGGGTGCGCGCTCGCCCGCGGGCGCTCCCTGGCGCCCACCGCGTCGCGGGGCCAGGCGATCTGCGCTGGGGTGGCCATCGACTGCGCGCAGGACACGAGCGCTGGCAGAGCGGAGGAAAGGGCGGATAACTTGTGGCTGCACCTGTGCGGCGTGCTCAGCAGAGCCGCTCGCGTGGGCGATGTGCTTGTGCTTCGGCCACCGCCGAGGGCGGTCCCGCAGAAGTCCCGCCTCCATCCGCGCTCGGAGCCCTCCAGACGTTCGATGCTTGCATGGCCGCGGAGACGCGGGAGATCGAGGCCCTCGCTCTGGGGCGCCAGCGGATCATGCTGGCGGCGTGAGGTCGTTTGAGTGCGCGGGCGCCAGAGTCTTTCCGACAAAGGCAGCGCTCTCCAGCCGCGCCGACTTGGCGCGGCCCGCGCCGCTCCGTGACAATTTCGGAGTGTCCGCCCTTCTTTTGTCCGCGTGCCAACTGCCGCCCAGGGGTTCCCCGTTGAAATGCACTCTCAGATTGCGCGCGGGCGGGTGTTGTTTGGATTGCGATGCCTCAGCGCGCGCAGCTCATAGACTCCGTCGAAGAGGCGCCGGGCAGACGTGGAAACTGCGCGCGAGAAAAATACACAAACATGTAGGCCGACGTAGGTGAGACAGGGGGGCAGGGGCGCGGGATAATGAAGCATGCGGGGAGGGAGAAAGGATCTCTCTAGAGGCTCCCCGCGGCAACTGCGCAAGAGCAATTGATTTGCATTGCCTTCCACCGTGGGCCCCCCCTGACTAAGCGCGATGTGGCGGCTCGTCTTGCATGGCCTCGTTGCTTGTTGCCGCCCCAGGGAAAGGCCCTCGTTGACCACCTCGAATTTTTCTTTGATGGAGGATGGGCGGCGGGGAAGAGGGAGGAGGTTGGAGCACTGGTGTGTTGAATGACATTTGGGGAACATTCGCGACGAGGGTTCAGAGTGCAGGATTGCGCATGGAGTATGTGGGTAAGCAAGCGCATGATATTTCAATCATGTGCGTCGGGTTCTTTGGTGGCGTAATTTTGATGGGCCCGTGCGGGCCCGAGAGCAGTTCCGACTGAAGAAGGTGTTCAACAGTCAAGATAAATTGGCGCTGCTGCGCCGAGGGCCCCCGGGCGCGCGCGTGCTTTCGTGCGTCGCCTTGATGCCCGCTGGGGCCCGCGGGGCGGCATTGCGTGGTCTGGCGGATCCTGCGTCGCGCGCCGTCCTCGCGCTCGCTAGATCCGGAGTGGGCGCGAAGCGGATTGGCTCGTTGGCGGCTTGGCTCTCGACCCAACCCGGCCCTTCTTTTGACCCCGCGCGTGACGTCGCATTGCCCATTCTCAACCGTTCTGCCTCCATGGTCTGGGATGCATCCTTTCCTTCGGCCGCCCGCAGATAGCTAGGCCGCCTGCGCAGAGCGTGGGCTGTTATCCAGGATCGAATCCAAGCTCGGCCCGCTTGGAAGGCGCGCCGTGGCCCTATCTCTTCTGTTTATTTGAGTTTGCCGCGTGCCGGCTGGGAGTTGGCCGCCGCGCGCCTTTTCTCGCCGCTGATGCGGGCGATGTCGTGGACATGCTTCGCGTCGCCGCGTGTGAGCTGGGGGGGCGGCTCCGAAGCGGTGTGCGCGGAATGCGGGCTGGCCGCTCGCTCTAACATCATCCTCAGGTTTTGGGCGATTCATGCCTCAAGATGAGAGGGCTCTGCCGCGGAGTGTTCGGACATCGCGGCGGCGCCCGCCGCGCTGCCGTGGGATGTTTTGTCGACGACGTGATGTGGGAGCCTTTGCGAAACCATGCTGACGTTATCGCGTCTCCTGACCAGTGCGTGCGCTGTGTTTCGACATGTAAGCGCCCCAGGTCACCGGATTCACAGTTGTGGTGCTGTGTTCAGTTAGTCGCCCCAGGACCAGGCGATCCCTGGTGATGTTCATGGGCGCAGAGCGGATCTCCGGGGCGAGGGTGACTTCGACGGCGGCGGGTAAGTCTGGGATTCTGCGGGGCTGCTGTGCGGGCCCCCCAGGCGCCTGCGGCGTTCGATCCCGCCCCCCGCCAGCTCCCCGCGTGCGCGCGAGGTGAGACCGCGGCGCCCTGGGGGCGGACTTCTTGCGCTGGCGGTTCAGGGCTCGCCGGCAGCTGCCCTGAGATCCGCGGGTGTGGATCGGCCGTGATCGAGGTCGGCCTTCGGGGCTGCCCGTCCGTGCTAGGTTTGGTGCGCTCCCTGCCCAGGCCCAGACTGCCTCGGGCTGAGCGGTTTGGTGTGTTCCAGGCGGTTCCAGTCTGCCCGATGGATGCTTTAGACGTGTCTGGCCACTTTAATGCCGCGCGGGAGAGGTCGTCGCGGGGCCTTCTCTCGGCCTCCAGCAGCGGGCGATATGCAAACGCCTGGATAGTTTCTTTCCGTTTTAGAAGGTATCCGACCCCCAGGCCTCCTCGTGAGTGGACCCTGTCCCATTGTGATTGGTCTGGGGTTGCGAAGGGGGAGGCATTTTTTAGATGCATATTTTCGGTGATATGTGGGCCGACCACTTTGCCCGCGTCGGGGTCGAGTCACGCGCTGCTGCCGCTTCGCTCGAGTATGTTGTCAGTGGTGCCCTCAAATCGGTCAAGCTCACGTTTGATGTCCTGTCCCGGTTCGCCCAGGCCTCTCCCGCAATGGTGTTGTGTGCGTGTGTAGTGCTGTGCTGGTCGAGCGCGAACTCTGGCATTTTCCCATCTTTGGCGAATGGTGGTGTTCGATATGCAATCTGTGCGCCAGGACTCCGTTGTCCCTGTTGCAGTTGCGCACGGCGAGCCGCAGGAAGTAAGGCTCCACCCCGTATCGGGCGTGGCAAACTTAGGGTTTGGCGCTCTGCGTGAATCCGAGAGTGTACCTCGCTGCTCATCTACGGTGCCTGCGGCCATGGATGCTGGTGAGCGGGTCCAGGGGCCGGTCTCCGAAGTTGCTGGGGCACCACCGACCGAGGTGCCCACGATGCATCAAGTGGGCAGAGTGGCTTTCTGTGCGACGTGCTCGGCCCATGCGATCCTTCCAAGTGGGGCCCTGCGTGGGCTTGAGTTCCAATATGAAAAGGTCGAGTGACCCTCCCTTCCGCCCGCGGTTCGCAGGCCACCGAAGTTCAGTATGCTGCTCTGGGAAGGCATCCTCTGACGGGGGCGGCTCTCGACCATATCTAATGTACTGTGGTGGTGGTCTGTCGGGAGGCGGGGCCCTACTGACTGGCGGGAAACGTCGCCGCAACAAAATTTGATGACCACCTCCATCCCTTTTCTTTGCCCTCGCAGGTTTCATGCTGTGAGGACCTTCGGTGCTGCCGAGTCTGTTGGCTTGCGCTTCCGTCGGATGCGTTGCACAGTGTCTGCGCGCCCCCGCCTCCTCCCCCTTCCTCCCCTCCCGCCCCCCCGCCCCTTACTCTCCCTCTTCCTCTCCCTCCCTGCCCCCCTCCCTTCTCCCCCTCCCCTGCCTCCTCCTCCTCCCTCCTCTTCGTTCCCTTCGCCCCCCCCCTCCCGTCCCTCTCCTCCTCCTCCTCCTCCTCCTCCTCCTCCTCCTCCTCCTCCTCCTCCCTGTTGTTGTTGTTGTTGTTGTTGTTGTTGTTGTTGTTGTTGTTGTTGTTGTTGTTGTTGTTGAACATTATTTCTTCTTAAGAATAATTATTGTTGGGACCCCTGGTGCGCGACCCCCCCGCCGCGCCTAGGCCGCAGCCACATTTTCATCATTTTCGTGAGGAAGTCTCAGGCAAAACGGGTTGGTCCGGATCCGGTTGTGTTGTTACGATCGGTTTTCCCTTGCAAAAAATAAGCTAAAGTGGACATTTCTTGTTCTAACATAACCAAACTTCAAGAATCCCTTGCAAAAAATAAGGTAAAGTGGACATTCGCGCGCGCAAGACGAAATCCTTCCAAAACCTTAGTTTTCGTAGCGATTTTAACATAAAAACATCAAACAAACCAATGGTTTTTCAAACAAAATTGTCAAAATTTCATCCCGCGCGCTCTTGCGGATTCGTAGGAAACCCAACACTTTTTAAACATTTCTGTCAAACGGGCTTTTGCGAGCAACTTTTTCGAACTTCTGCAACAACGGTTGCGCACCTGCCAGGGCCATCATCCCTGTCAAATAATACCATGCGGGACACATTCGTTTTTTATTCGCGCGCGCACGCCGTCGTCGTCGGCCGCGGGGCCCTGAATAGTAGCCACGGTCGTCCGCATGCCACGAAGTGAAGTGTCCGAACGTCATAGGGCGGGAAGCTGGGTGTGGGTGGTGGCGAAGAGTCGTTTGGAAATTTGGTAGAGCTTGAACCGGCCCCCCCACAAAGTGGGGGTATTGCCCGCCTCCTATGAAAACCCTGGCACTGGTGAGAACGGAGTGTCCCCACGTGCTAGTAATTGTTGTTGTTGTTGTTGTTGTTGTTGTTGTTGTTGTTGTTGTTGTTGTTGTTGTTGTTGTTGTTGTTGTTGTTGTTGTTGTTGTTGTTGTTGTTGTTGTTGTTGTTGTTGTTGTTGTTGTTGTTGTTTCTGTTGTTGTTGTTGTTGTTGTTGTTGTTGTTGTTGTTGTTCTTGTTGTTGTTGTTGTTCCTCTCTCTCTCTCTCTTTCTCTCCTCCCTCTTACCCCCCCCCCTTCCCCCGAGTAGGGGGGTTGGCCCGCCCGCGCGAGCGGGAATCCAGGGTGGCATGGGGGAGTACATCGACGACTCCATCGAG